GGGGAGCTGGGGCAGGCGGGGTGGCCCGGCCTCGGCCGCAGTGGTAAAGAGGGGAGCCTCGGGGGCACTTCAGCAGGGAGACGTGAGAGGGTCTGCTATGAGGGAGCCTCGTATCAGGGGTCTGTACTGATTAATGACCGCGGGTCCCTCTAGCCTGGTGTCCTGCTTGGGGTGGCAACGCTGGCAGGTGCTTGTTGTGCGAATAAAATTAGGCCGTGGTATCTCTGTCAGTGCTCACCAACCCTGCACCAGCTTTTGGCTTGGGGATTTCTTGAAACGGGTGACTTCTGTCCAGTTAGAAGTCTTCAGTAGTTTTCTCAGAAACACAACAGGACGTAAGCCGAAAGCAAGCGGCGATGGAGCTGTTGTTTTCCTCTTCTATGCTGAAAGGCATAATTTTTCATATTTTGCGCAGGCAGCGGTAGGTCATCATGTTTATATATTGACACAGTGTCTTTATTTTCTGTGAAGTGGAAGTATCTTTTAAGGTCCAGTTAGGTTGGAATATGACAAATTTTAAGTTAAGTCTTTACAAATTTTGTATCGCTCCTTCTGTAATTAAAAAAATTATCTCTTTCAGTACCTACGTGGCACCACCAATACTAAATCCATTCATCTCTGCCGGTAATCATGGATCAGGTAATGCAATTCGTGGAACCCAGCCGTCAGTTTGTAAAAGACTCCATACGACTTGTTAAAAGATGCACCAAGCCTGACAGGAAAGGTAAAGCACACAGTAAAACAGAGCACAGTCCTTATTTAATCTTATACTTTACCATGTATCTTCCCATATGTGACTTATGTGTTGTGAATGGTTCTCAACTTCCAATATGAGATTTAAACTTGAGCAGTTGTCCAGTTGTTAATGGGTTTATGGTTCTGGATATAATAAACTTGAATGTCTCCTTTTCTGGTATGTACTCAGTCAGGTGTGTGAGAGCGCTGCTAAAGCTCACCTTATGAAATAGGCTAGGTAGCTGAAATTAGCCATTTTGAGACAGGCAAGTAGTAGTTTTTATGTATTAGGTAAACTGATCTGAGAAGAACTTGTGTGCGCTGCGAAAAGACAAATGCACGGGTCAGGTTTGTCTGATTGCAGTCAACTTGGGGGAAATACTGGAGGAAACTGCTTGTTACGTGACCTTGGAGGAAACGCTTCATTTTAGGAGACTGGAAAGGAGCTAGGATTGCTTTTTGCGGTGCCCATTCAGTACTTCACACTTGTCAGTGACTGCCTGATTGGGACAGGAACTTTGTTTCTGGATGTATAGAAGAGAAGATTTTTGGACTTTCTCAAAGGCATTAGAGAGAAGCTATAACTATAACCAGAATGTAACTGGTTGTCCTTAATGGAGGTAGTTAACGATGCTTTATTCACATGCTCAGGATGAAGCTTGCTGACATCTTCCTGTGACAACCATAAATGCAGCTTTTCCATTTTTGATGCTGTATTGGGAATTATTTTCAGGGCTTGTAAGAGGTATAAAGGAAAGATACTGGAATAAATGTTCCATGAATTGTTATGAACTGTGTGTATTTTCGATTCTGCTTACTATTTAAAATCGTTGAGATCAGCCATGCTTTGTGGAAAGCAGCATCTTCTCGCTTAAAATCTCATGTGTCTTCTGAAAAAGAGGATTTGTTTCTCAACGTCAATGCAGTTTGCTTTTGAACTGCTTCCTGTGTTAACGCTACCGTTTTCTAAAGAGAGCTCTCTCTCCTCTGGTCACTGTAGTGCACATCTCCTCTATGCCATACACGAGGTTTCCTAGACTAAAATTTTTTTGGTTTTGCAGAGTTCCAGAAGATTGCCATGGCAACAGCAATAGGCTTTGCGATAATGGGATTTATTGGTTTCTTTGTCAAATTGATCCATATCCCAATCAACAATATCATTGTGTAAGTAAATATGAACCTTCAATTTCACTACATTTTACGTTCATTTGTACCTGTTCAGTTTTAAATAGAGGATGTTAGCGAGCCCTACAGGATCCGTGTTGCTTTAGTATCTGTGCATTTCACATGTTAGTGTGACATGACAGGTATTACTTGATTCAAAGGACCTGATCAGGAAGTAGATCGTTAATTTAGCATGCTGCAAAATATTAGATCCATAGTTCTTCAGTTTTTTTTTGAGTATTCTGCTTCAAAACTGAACGTCAAGTATTTTGATTTCCAGTTCCTCAGTGTGTGTTTATCCATAGAACATTTACCTTATTTGGATCTTACATACCCTTACTGTTTCCAGTTTATAATTTGGGTATCCAAAGTAAATGCATGGATGTTAAGGTAGAGAAAACTGAGTGATTGTGCTGGAAGATGACAGGGCACAGAACAAAGTTGGTCTTGTTTCATTTACTGAGTGCTAGATATGTTTGAAACTGTTTTACGTGTAACTGCATTCTGTAAAATACCTTTTGGAATGAACATTGCAGCATGAAAAATTTGACCCTTAAGTTGACCGGCAGCCATGGTACTGATGTATTAACACCACCAGTTAAAACTCCTCACATTCTCCAGAACTGATGTAATCCCTTTTCTAGCACTGGAACAGGTTAAATGCTCTTCCATAACCACGACATGTGGCTTGATTATACCTGTAAGAGTGGTCCTCTAGGCAAGGAGAAATGTTTTAAAATAGGAGATAAGCTGTAAAGGTAGTAATGTTTGTCCTAACAAGGCAATGGTGGGAGGATAAATTAGATTTCAGATGGGATCACTTGATCACACTTGATGAGTTGAAACTGATTACTTTGTTCTCTCAACAGAGGCGGCTGAATATTCATCATGAAGAACAAGACGTTGTGACACTTGCTGCAAAGATTTCACAGCTTTGTAACTTGCTTGCTATTAAACAAGCTCAGTTTGGGTTTTCAAACATTCCTGTCATCTTAGCCCTCTTTTATAGTTTATGTGATCATACCTGTATACATTATAGGCTTTTTTTTTTTTAAGTAGTAGTAGAGTGGTTTGTTTATTTGTTTTGTTACTTCTTTCAACCATAATAGAATCATTCAGGTAGGAAGGATGCTCAACCTGGGTCAGTGTTGCCTTCTGACGAGGTCGCTTAGGGCTTTGTCCAGCCGGGTGTGAAAACTTTGCAGGGTGACAACTGTACAGCCTCTCTTCAGAAGCTCTCCCAATGCTCTCCCAATGCTTAGTAAACAGCATTGTTCCAGCAAAAGTATGCAGCAAGAAAACAGCATTGCTGTATCCTCTCAAGTGGTGATTTAAAGGTCTATCAACTGAAATTCTTGTCGCCAATTTCTGGAATCGCCATTATTACCCTTAATTCCTTTCTGCGTTTGGAAGTCCTGTTAGGTTATATTATGTACTTGACTGGAAAAAAAACTCCATCAAATAAAGAACTTGCATTGCCAATCCTTGTTCTGATGGCACAATTAAGAAAGCCAAACTAAGCTGGTTACTAAGATGTACAGTTTGTGGTTAATTTAGTTGTCGGAGATACTAAGCAGTCCTTCAGCGAATCAACAACTTGCTCGCACTGTTGGGTAGGACATAACACCCATTTTGGATACTGGTTCTGTAAGGCAACTGCACATAGAATTATAAAGGGCTCTGCGTTTGCTGACCTGGAAGTTTGCATTATTAAATGATTGGATATTTTGATTTTAAAAACTAAGCCTGTAAAAACTCTGGTAGATGCAATGCTCTTCCTCTTCAGTTGAGATGAAGAAATTTGTATTTCATTCAAAAAAGCTTATTGTAAGCATTTGCTATTTGCAGAAGTTACAATGCTACTTCTATTACAGACTTTAAAAGCACTTAATACTGGGAAATCTGATATTGGTATTACGGCAAAACTGAAGCTTCTTCAGTACACAAACTTGCTTCCTAAGCAGAAAAGTTCAATTATTCCTCCTCTCGAGAAATCTTCACCAGCACCTACATATGTTACAAACCAGGACAGAAAAATGAGGTTAACTACTCTTAGCGTTACCACCTTTTAATATAGTTACACTATGTGCAAGTGTCTACTGTATTTCCTTTTGGCAAAAGGGGAAAAAATAGTTCAGTATTGGAATAAAACACTCCGTAAGAATAGTCTGAACTAACCAGATACGCAGTAGCAGTTTCTTTACGTTCACTTCTGTTTGTGATTGCATTGGGTGGCAGCTCATGTGTCCTCTGATTAAGTAGTGTGAGGTACCAGAATGAAGTACTCGATTATTGCTACTAATCTTGATTTGATCTCAACTGACTTTTATTTCAGACTTGTTTTCCATTCAGTACATAAAATCAGTGCCTGCTTACATCTTTCGGAACAGCTTTACTGTCTTAATTCAGTGAAATTTTGCAGTAATTTGAGTTCCGTCAGATCAGAAAAGGCAGCTGTAGCTCATCTTATCTTTTGATAGCCATTGTCCACAGCAAAGGCTTGTCCGTCTCAATGGTCACAATCCTGGAGTCGTCATAGGTATTGGAAGTACTGACGAGCGTTCCAAACTTCAGCACCTGGTTAGCTGCCAAAAAAAAAAAGTAAAAGACTTAGTGGTACTCTTGAAAAAAATGCATTGATGTGCATTTATTGTTGTGAAGATTGCTGCTCCCACAAAGAAGGAATAAAACAGCTGAGTAAATCTAACCCAGGTAAACAACATCTAAAATAGCTGTGTTAAATATTAATTACAAGGCTTGTATGAGACTATCCGATGACCTGTAGAAGGAACAAATTAATACTTAATCCCCAAATTATCATTTTGAGTTTACGGCAGATTATTACAAAAGCAGGTTGTCGAATGTTCCCCCGAGTTTCACATCTGGAAATTTGTATTTCATTAGCATCAGCTCAAGTACCAGTGTTGGACAAGGTATTTAAAGTAAAACGAGGCAGAGGATCTTACTGTAGTTCCAAACATGGGATTTGCTTTAGCTCAGCAGCAAGCCTATAATCTCTTAATGTGAACCGTTCTCGAGCAAAGGCCAGCAGTTAAAAGTGGTGGTATTTAACAATTTTTGCTTTGAAGTGACTTGTATCTTTTCTTCCATTGCATGCCTAGTGAGGTAGGTGTCCACGTGCATTAGAAACCAAGTGGCATTACCCTTAACAAACAGCTAATGTCCAGTTTAGGAGAGTTTAACACAGCTAACAGTGTGGTTGTAATCATAATTTTGAAATATCCGTGAAGTTTTAAGCAACTGTTCTGTATTGTTTTAGCTGACATGTTTTAGACTTCCTACGAGCTGAGACCAAAGATACAAGCTGCCCCCAAACCAAAAAATGCAGTTTAACTTTTATCTTGCTATTTCCTCCCTTTTGGAGACAGCATTGCTTGCATTTTGCAAACATACGAACTTCCCCAAAGGCACTCTAAGACTAGTCAGTTCTGTATTAGTCCTTGCTCACGTAAAGGTTCAGAGTAAGAACGCTAAGACTCTCCTTTGTTTTAGTCTGTAAAATAAGCCAAATGACAGCTCTTACTCACTGGCACCAGAGAGTTACATTTCCATGGAGGATACAAGGAGAGCTGCAGCTGGGGAGAATGGTTGAGGCAGATCAGCAAGTCTGTGTGGCCTGTGGGAGTTGCCAAATCGTGCATTAACACTGAAGGAGGAATCCTCTGGATTTGCTATGAAGTGGCCCACTGCGAATGGAGATCTCCCTGTGATCAAGAGGTGTGCAAAATAACATAATAAGCTCTATTTTGTGATTTGCACAGGAGACAAACCCTCCAATTGTGGATGTGAACATGGGCTATAGTAAATGGGTGTAGTAATCTGTTATTACAATGCATGTTACACTGTCTACCCATTGCTGGAAGCTGCACAGGAGGAATTCATCTTGCCAGGCTGTATGGCTTGAAAATGAGAGTCTGACAAAAGGCAGGACATACAATGTGGTTCAGCGTCTCTGCTGCCAAATCTGCGCTTGCTGCTACTTGTTCCTGCTCCCACCCTTGCTATTAGCCTGAAATGAACCGAAGAAAAGGTTTCAGCTGCTAGCCGTATTTGGTTGGAATGAGAGAGTAACACCCGAGTTTCACTACTGCTTTGAACTGAAGAGTCCTGCCAGTTGAATCTCTCAGGAGTTTGAAGCATAACTGCAATGCAGTGCTGAAGTTCAGCGGGGGGGGGGGGGGGGGGGGGGTGAAGTACTAGATCAATTATGTACCTAAAATAAAGGTGCTAGATTTTATCAGGATGATTTTGGACACACAACAGTGCTAGGCAGGCTCCTAGACAAATGCCAGGACGAATGAGTTTTGGTGTTTGCCTTTGGAAGAGACAGCAGAGGCCGATGGGGTTATGCCTTGCAGAAGCTGATGCACTGGACTGAGTTGCCAGAGAACCCAGATTTCACCCTTCGCAGATAAACAGGTCATTTAATGAAGATGAGGTAACACATGGGCCGAGTTCCCTGTGTAAAAAATACTCCCAAAATACTGTGTTAAGTGTTATGATCAAGTTATAAATGTTTCCAGTCAGTTTTAAGTAGGAAAGAACCTTAAATAGTTTAAAATATTTGTTGACACACAGATTATCCATTTTTTGTTACTATATATTGAAGCTTGAAGGGAGGGGGAAAGGAAGAACTTTGTGGATCAACTCTTACTCTTCTGTATAAACCCACTCATTTAGTATCATTGCTTCTTGCCCAAGACTGTCAGAATAATTCTTAAATATTTCAGCTTTGCTTATGAAATAAAGGCTCTGTAGAAGGCAAGAATTAAGAACAACATGGCAGCTTAATGAAACAAAATCTAAAGAAGTATTTCTTCATGCATAAAATTAAGTGAAAATCTTGCCCTTTTTTTTTCTTTAAATAAAAAGTTCTTGCCCACTAGGTGGAGCCTTTTATCTTTCTCTATCAGATTTTCTTCTCTGCAAGGATCAGTTTGAAATGCTGAAGTGAAAAAAATTCAAAAACAGTACTGCTGATTCACGTGGCTCAAATGGACCAATTTGAGGTACTCGCTTTCACAACCAGCCAACATTTCAGCTAACAATTAAAAATGCATGCTTTCCATTCAATAAATGAACAGTAATGTGAAAAACTAGGTTTAAGCCAGTAAAGGAAATAAGAGGATGTACATACCTACTGCTTCTAGGAAAACTTCCTGCTGTGTCATGCATTATGATGTGAAGTTTACAAGGTCAAAGAAGTGGGAAGTTTTACCAGTTCATACCTGATCCATTCCCTTTTTTTAAATGGCTTTCAGTCTTACTTGTTAACTTCCCTGCCTTGGGAAAAAACCTATTACAAAAAAAAAAAAAAACCCAACCCATTCTTGCTATTGAGTTCATTTTTCTGAAGTGCGTTCCAAAGAAAACAACCTTTTTATTTTCTAATATTTTGTATTTATAGTTTTGATGGGTACCAAAAATGATTTTAAGAAAGGATTTCACATTGTGATTTTTGAAAAAAAAAATCTAAATCTCAAAAACCCTGGGATTTTTAGAATTCTCTAATGAAAAGAAATTTTATTTTGGATCACTGAAAATTTTCTTATAGACAAATAGTAGTCTTTTGCTTTTCATGAGAACCTTCAAGAGCTGATTTGGATAAAACCAGAAGTGATTCATCGAAAACAACACCCCCCCTTCCTGCAGTGTTAGGCCTTTTTTCCCCTGAAGTTTTGCTTAGGGCTTTGGTTCCAGTCGAACTGCGTTTATTGGTAATAGACTGTTGATGAGAAAAATACTCTACCCAGGTCCCTCAGTGTAGCTATACTATTTTTCATTACTCTCCATCTATAAAGTCAGCTTGTCTCGGTGGCACTGAGCCTAGGTGGCCGGGCCGCCAAGGAAAGCAGTGGGGGTCATGAGTGGTTACACAAGAAGGTAACTACGTAGTAGTTCTGTGGTGTGGTTTTGAAGTCTGACAACTCTGGACTTTAGAACTAAAAGCAAATGCTATTCCTGCCTTTTGGAAAAAAAAACGCCGAACCAAACCAAAAACCAAACAACAAAATCTATTATAAGCCAGGTTTTTATGGGGCACCCTATGTTCTCATCAGTAACGGAAGATTCTCATTTCTGTCAGATGGATTGCAATATATCGCTAATTCAGACCTAATCATGGTCATGGGCAGGGCTTATTTTCACATGGTAGTGGAGGGATGTTTTTCTAGCAGTTTTTATTTTATATAGCAGGTAGTTGAATCTGCCATGGTTTTAGAACGTTGGAAATAATTTAGAGAAGAAATCTGAGGGCTCGTAGGTGAGCTTCCCAAAGGAGCATAATCACAATCACAAAGATCATTATTTCTTAGACATCCCTTTTGCTGACCAAATTATATGACAAAGGACCTTTGTCCTATAATTGTCCCAAAGGACATTAACCCTGAGACTGCCCACTTCCACTATTTTATTGCTTATCTTTTGATACTTTTTTTTTTTAAATACACAATTCTGAAGATGCCATGTGGAAAATGTTAATCTCAGACTAAGATTTTGAAAGTTGATGAATCTTACGGTTGCCAGAACAACATTTGGAAATGCGAACCAAATGCACCCTATAAGTAATCAAGCTATATAAAAAAACAACCAACAAATCAGCCAACAAAGCCCAAACCTAAAACTGTATTTTAAAAACTCTTATCATATTTATACCTCTACCATGGTTGGGTGCTTTATTTTTTAGTTGGCAGTGCTGAAAGTGAGACCTAAGCCTTGCTTGCAACATGTTCACCATTGCGCTGCAGGCTTTCAGCCTGGAAACTGAACAAATAGCGTGGACTCTAATTATAATAGATTGGGTCTTGTTAGGCACTGCAAAACCACTAACTCTCAATATCAGGTTACTCAATAACTGTATTCATGATGTAGCGAACTTATAAACATTATTCCTACAACTTCATTGTACTATTTAAGACACATACGCAAAGTTTAGTCTAGCAGATGAGAGCTTATATCAAGGTCTCATGTACATCTTATAAGTTGCACTTAAGCAGGGTTTGAGGGAGGCACATACAGAGAAAAATTTATTTCTTAAATATATCATATATGGCAAAAGCAAACGCTGTCATTAATTTGAAATACTTGATTGAACAAGCAGGCCCTCTGGTTATTCCTACATCTATACCAAAACCACAGCGGGATCTGGACAGCGGAGGCATTTAAGTGCAGTATTTAATGGTCATGCTGGAAGAAGAGTTTACGAGGTGCAAGTCCCTCCTTACCAGCAGTAGATTTAGTGAAGGAAGTGATTTTGGTGTGAGAATGGCCGAACAGTCACGCCTCATGTCTTTATCCGAAGACATGTAGGCAAATGGAAGCCTTTTGGAAAGCCCTTGAATGCAGCAGCGTAGCACAAGGGTCCCCACTTCACAGGATTTCACCAACAAGTCAGGGTCTGGCTACTGTGACCACAAATGACTGAGAACAAAACACCATCACGATAAGCACGTCTCACATAGATGCCGTGATATCTATACTACGCTTCCTTTTCTCAACTTGTCTCTCAATTACTTCCTGCAATATGTAAAGTCACATCTTGCTGATTTCCACCACTGAAAATAGA